GGAACTAATTACGAATTTGTTACTCTGCTGCTTAATTTTTCGCGGCAGTTAACTCTGTAAGTAAATTACAATACTTTACTGTAACGTTGAAAATCTTGTATGATTAGCAAAAGTGATGTTTACAATACTTTGGAAGTTTGGCTTGTAACGGTAGAACAGTTTGCTCAAAGATAAAGCGCTTTTTTTCCGCAAAACCTATGAGAAGAGCAAAGATTCTAAAAGCGTTTTTGACAAAAGTTGGTGAAAATTATCAGATGGTAGGGAACATAGAAAAAGGAATTTGTTTTCAAAGAAAATTAGTCAGTAATATTACAGCAGTAAAAAAACGGCATCTGTATTCAGCAGGTTTAATCTGAAAAGCATCGTATTATAGTTGTTAACCTTTCGGTTAATATCAATGAAGGTCAGATTCGAACTCAATAAGTGAGAAGAATGGGGAAGGCAAGTAGAAATAAAACGAGCAAAGGTTGAAAATTTTCATGTTTGGCATGAACAGCATGAAGTAGCACATGAAGTAGCACTGATTTTTATCGAAATTATTCTCTCCTTGCAATTTATTGCTAAGTTTAAAGCTGGATTATAAAGATAAAAGCAAAGTTATGCAAAGTAATTAAATTAAAAATGAACAGATTTACTGGTATCCTGCTTTAAGTTTTTTAAGAGTATAATCGTAAAACATCCAAAACACATTTGCATTTATTCCTGTAGCGTTATAGTTGCTGAATGCGTAAAAATAAATGATTGAATAAATCTCTTACAGGCCAACTTTCTTAAATGAAAATAGATCCTCATAAGCATCTAAACAATTTACTCGCAACTAAAAGCAGCTACAGAGCTTTTGATCTTCCAGTCATGGTTTAAACTACAGCTGTAGTCATAAAACACTAAGAAAGAATTGAGCTTTTGAAACTAAAATTGTAAATTTGTGATCTATCCATTATAGTTCACTTAAAATTACAAACAGAAAAGTACTTTTTGAAGTAAAGCTGCGAGAAAAGTTGTTTTATTTGAGTAAATCGGTTACGAACCTCTAAATTAATAAATATTTTTGTAGACTCTGAATGTTAATTCTTGATTTCCATTTTTATCGCGTTTTTTAAGCACTAAAACAAAGTTTTCAGCATACTTTACATGATAAAAGTATTTCAACAACAACAAAAAAAAAGTTAATGAACTTAAGTACAGCAAATTTTAAAAAACAATTTTTTTCCTTATTTTTTAATTACAAAAAAAAAATTTAGTCTTTATACATTGTGTTAATTTCTTCTTTGAATTTTTCTTCGATGCACTTCCGTTTTATTTTAAATGCAGCTGTTACCAAACCTCCAACTGGTGTCCATACATCTGCGCATAAATAGAGCTTTCGAGGAATCTCCATCTTATTTAATTTACCTAAACATATATTTAGAAAATTACATTTAAGTTTTTTGACCTCAATAATAACTTATTGCATTAAGCAATTGCAACAAATGACTTTAGTCTTATTTTTACAGTGATTGAAAGTTATTAGTTTAGAAAGCCTAAAACATTGTGGTCGTTAACTGCTATAAAATTTTTATTCTCATCGTAAAATCTACCATAAATCGTCAATACTTTTCGTTAATTCTAATTTTTGGTTATAAAAATTTGTAGTTGACAACTTCACTGAATTACTGCTAACAGCTTTCCACTTATAAAAAAAAAACAATATAAAGAAAGAATCTCTTTTTTTTTTAACATTTTAAAAAGAATTTTTTAATGAATAATGACTGAGCTTTACAGCAGAGTTTGACAAATTAGCGACTGTTTTATTTACGGTTTATTATTTTTAGTTAATCGGGTTCAGAGTCTTTGACAATGCTTTTAAAATTGATAAGAAAAAAGAGATCTAAAAGAAAAAATTTTGAGACAAAGATAATCATAGATCAACTTTTAGTTTTAAACCAGCTTTTGAATTTCTAAAACATTTCTAAAAAATGTGAAAAAAAAAACTTAACTTGCAGCGGTGCTTTAAGCTTTAAATAAGTAAGCGTTTCAATACTATTACTGTTTCAAGCAATTTTTTCAAAAAAATAACTTTTATGCTAAATTTATGTTCAGTTTACAACCAACACGTTTTGCTGATTCAGTTTAAAAAATAAATTCTGCGTAAATTCAAAAAATATTTCACGTTTTGCAAAAGTAACATCCACCTTTACAGCTTGTCTGAATTTCGGCGAGCATTTTATCCTTGATTTCCCTATGCTGACAAAGTTTCTTGTAATCGTCTTCGTTAATACCACACTACAAATATCAATCATCCAAACCGTATTTTCAATTTCAAACAAACAAATTTATACTTACCAAAGAAAAGTTAGGAACTGTAAAATCTTATATTGATAAGGTTTACTGGTAAACATGCAAAATCTTAGCAACCTTATGAACTGAAATAAGTTTAAAAAATTGTTTCTTTTTCTTTTGACTTTTGGGATAAAAGAAATTTTTTCAACTTTTATTTTAATTAACTTACCGATTTCGCAAAAGCGTTTATATATTCTTTTTTTGGAACAATTATTGCTACCACATAGTCCTGTAACGAGAACTTGATAAGGTTACAACAGTATACAAATGTTCTTCATTAACATGTTTTAAAAAAATTACTGAATGAACTATATCGAGCTTGAAAAAATAAACTGAAAGAAAGAAATTTTGCTTAAAAAACAAAGATTTATAAAAGCATAGCTCATTAAAAAGCTTTCTTCCTTTATGCATGATTGTTAAGAAAAAAAATTACGCAAAAGTTTTATCTGACCTAAAAGAAACGATAAAAAATATCAGTAATTTTTATATTTCTACAACAAATCATACACTACTTTAGGTGCTATCTTTGTAAAAAATCATTAAAGTTTGTCGAAACAAAGTATCAGAAGATGCAAAATGGAAAGCTTTAAAAACAAAAAACGAAAGTTCTGAAGACATTTGAGAAAAATTTATACTGAGAAAAACAGAAACTTCTATGAAAATTGCATTACAGATTTTTACAGTTCAGTTTCACACTGGACAAAGACCACTGATCAGATAGAATACTAAAAAAATACTGCTTACAATTACCTTCCGAGAATTCCCGCAAACACAAACATTTTCAACCGAGGGAATTGCACCAATATATGTTTCCACCTTTCCCAACGAAACATATTCACCCTGAGCCAACTTAATCAAATCTTTTTTGCGATCTACAAATTAGTAATTTCAGATGACTGTCAGCTGATTTACACGGCAGATTTGACAAAAAGTTAGGATAAAATGTGGGTGTACCAATGATAACTATAGAACCGTCTGGCCGAAATTCTGCAATATCACCAGTTGCAAACCAACGTTTGCCATATAAATCAAAAAATGCTTCTTTGGTCAACTCTTCATTGTCTAAATAACCGGCTGTTACATTATCCCCACCGATGCAAAGTTCGCCTTGTGGTATCTTATTTTTTGGTGAATAACCACCTGAAAAAATGTTTTTTTGTTAGCGTTTCAAAGCATTGCTTATCGTTTAATAATATAACAGCCTCTAAATCAGTTGCTGTTAAATAAATTCTTCTGCAGTTCTCCTTTTTCAACTTTTAATACAATAGCTAAAACTGCTTGAAAATGTTATATATACCATCAATCCATTCACGCAGCATTACATCCAGTAAAATTTCTGGTGGTCCAATCTCGTCAAATCGAAGGCTATTGACTATAAAAGGAAGAATTTTGAATTCTCAACTTCATTGTCCTGTAGCAGAAACAAATTTTTGCTGCTGCCAAAAACAATAAATTTTATTACTTTTTTTCGTTTTGACTACAGAATTTAAGCAAAAAAACTTATTGATACTATCAAAAGAGCTCTAAATGATTACTTAAATTGATGGCACCACAACCACCAGTTTCTGTTGCACCATAGCCTTGTAAAAATGGGCATGCAAAGCACATTTTGATTGACCTTTGAGTATCCTGGTTCATTGGTGCACCGCCAGCAACCAGCAGCTTCACTTTACCGCCGAGTATCTTCCGAAAACCGACAAACATAATTCTGTAAAATCGTTAGTACCTTCAATTTCAGTTTGAAAACTGGAACTGGTTTGCTAAATCATTTACTGATTAGGCATAATTCTAAAAAAGACTAAAAAAAGTTACCGAGCAAGATAAATGTCGTCATAACCTTGGTCAAATCGTTCATTTAGATACTTATAAACAACTTTGAACAGTTCTTTTTTCCACGGAGGTAATTTTTCAACACAACCATTAATGTAGTGAAGAATACGATTATATATTGCCTTTAAACAGTATTTTCAATTTTATTCTATCTCTATAAATGTTCAAAATCATAAAATGACAAAAAGTGTTTGTCGGTTAAAACTATCACATAAAAACACCAATGTTAACGCTGGAGGAGAAGCATTTATCAAAAAAAAATCATAAAATAATATATTTACTGGAGTTGCACCAAAAATTGTTGGTTGCAAAACAGCACAGTCACCACGTTGTCCGTTCTGCAGTCCAGGAGCACCATCGAATAATGTAAGCGATGATGAATAGCCAACTCTGCTACCTCTTGCAAAAGCGATAATTTCAGCACAAATTTCAAAAATATGTGCCAACGGTAAAAAACCGATATAGGTTTCTTGCGAACTGTAAGACAAAAAATAATGCAAATTACTAAGCTATATTTTTGTCTCTTATTATCAGCAACATAATATTTGTTGTTCAAGAAAGCAAACAAAAAAAAAACCCAAAAAGATAACTGTAACTGTATTCAACAGTAACTTTAGTTGAAGTCGTTCAGCGTGAGCATTTACAGCTGTCGCCAAATTCTTTTGCAACAAAACAACTCCTTTTGGAGCAGCTGTGGTACCGCTGGTATACATTATCATTGCTGTATCATCTGGCTTTGGAACCTCGGTTTGTGTTATATTTGATAGATGATCTAAAAGCAGCAGAAGTATAAGAACAGTCTAACAAATTAAGATACAGCAAACTGGATTAGGAAAACCAATTACCAGATTCGTTGCCAAGTTCCATCAATTTTTCAAACGGTAAGCATTGAATTTTCAATTCACTAAACCTTTTCGGTATTTTAACAACAGCTTCGGGATCCGAATGAGAGAAATAAATCAAGTTTTTTATCGAACATTTATCTTCTAGCGCTTTAGCTGCCTAAACTTTTTTTTAAAGATTAATGCTGTACTTGAAATTAAAACTTGACCTTTTTTTGGTAATTTCAGACAAACTAAAATAGGACAATTGAAATTAAGAAAACGAACGAACAAATATGTGATTAGCTAAAAACAAAATTTTTTACCGCTTCTAACATTTTTGCCGAAACAAATATTGTTTTTGGTTGACACTGTCGAACTGAATGTGTTACAGCCGCGTATCCCAATGTTGTATAAACAGTAACCGCTGCAAATCAAAGTTTAGTCTACTGTTTAAGGGAAAAAGCTGTTATTATAATCCTTTTGTGAAAAATTTTATCAAATTTTCACAGTAATCTTATAAATATATTAATTTTTTTTGATATTTTAGCTTACGTATCGAAAACTGGTTTTTTTTCGTCAAAAATTAATGATGATAAAAGTACTAAACAATTCAGTTGACTTATGTTTCTCTTGCTGTCAAATAGCGACTTTATTAGTTTAGAAGCTGTTAAATGCTCTAACCTGGGCAATTACTTTTGCAGCATGCCAACAGTGTAATCGTAAATTCTTCTCGTGTATCTGAATATATCAAAACTTTTTCGTAGCTTTTGTGGCCAATTTTGCCAAGACCTAAAAGCGTTTATCAGCACTGTGAACTGACAATGAAATCTTTGCAAGCATCTGAAAAAAGTTAATAGATTTATTACGTAACCTTTTACAACAGCTTCAATTCTGTCGTCGACTTCGCTGTAAGTTCGCCACTCATAATCGCCTAATGCAAGCTAAATACAGATGTAAAATGTAACTTACAGTGGTAATTTTATCTGAAAAATTTATAACATATCAAGCATTCTAATATTGCCTGTCAGTAAACAGATTTTTACATCAATTTTTTTCAGCCATTTACGTTTTTTATTTGTTGTTAATAGTATATACTGCCAGTAAGGTTGCTCATGTAATGACGATCAAAAAACTCTTGTATTTCGATCGGTCATACAAAATAGTGTTTCCGAACAGAGAGTAACACTTTGTTCCTTTTGAATGTGTGGTTTGCTGTAAGTTATTTTGCATAAATAGTTTGTTAGCAAACGCTTTCAAAATTAAAAGTAACCTTCTCAAAAATTCGTCCATCAGGTTGAGTTTCCTTAATGGAACCTTTAAAACGTCGTGTTCCAACGCAAGGTAAATTTGCAAACTTTTTCAGTGCATAGTCCCATATCTGTAAAAACACTTATTTGGTCTTTTTTTTTATTTAGTTGACAAGGTAAATATTAAAGAGGTAAATTAAAACAGAAATTATAAAAAAAAAAAAACAAAAAAGACAGGTAAGTCGAAAACCTCTGGTACAGTTTTACACTTTAGCAGCATATCTGTACTGTTTTCTACGTCCGTCATTTGTTGACGCCATGGCGAACTTGGATCATCAGGTATCAGTGGAAGTGCCTAAAGAAGTTGAAGTGTAGGAGTAATCTCAAGCTGTCTAAATTGATGTGCTTAGTTAAAATACATTAGCACTTCTTAATCTTAGTACTTTTTTGTGGCAACAGATTAATGCCTATTCAACAAGCAACTCAATTTTGTTTCAAACCAAAAGAAAAATTGTCATTGACTTATTTAAATTACTCTAGTAAAATAGAAGTTTTTTATTTGTGAACGTCTGACAGTTAAACATTTTTTGACATATTAAGCTTGCTGTAAAAATTTCAAACAAAAAAAAAAACTGAATTTAATTGCTGCTAAAATTTTAACCTTTTTTCGTCTGGCCTCTGCAAGTCGAAGTTCTGGATTTGCGAAAATTTGAAATGGAATATACGTGACAAAACCATAAGCAGCAAGAAGAATCTAAACGAAAAAATTTCAAGATTGTTTTAAATGTTTTAACTGTCATCTGCTAAAATTTAAATAAAGATTTTTAAAGTATTTATTTTGACAATTGATATATAACTTCTAGCTAAATTTTTTTCTCAGTTTTTATCGGTTTTATTTCGGTTATTAAACAAAAAGTGTTAGAAAGCTATAAATGTTTTTTTTTTACAGTAAATTACATTACATTATTAAACAAAACATCAAAAAGGTGCTCAGATACCCGAAAAATTCCTTGCAGACAAGTCAAGTAAAATGGTTTTTTTTCTGACTGTTTCTCAAAAGGACCTGTTCTCATTTATGTATTTACCGATGGTGACTATGGCTTGGTCCAGATCTAAAAACAGACAGTTCAAATATATCTTCTAAGAAAACTTTCTGAAAAAAAAAACAGTAGAAAAAAACCAGAAATTATGATTGTTGAGATACTTTAAGAGCATTATTAAAGTGAGCCTTTATCAGTTCAGTTTAAAAAAAAACGGTTACTTTAGACTTGCTGATGCAAAGAGTAAATTGTTTTACAAGCATTACTGTGCTGTTTTTACAACCAACGCAAAAAAATAAGGTATCGTGGTAAAACAATGAAAAAAACTTTGATTTATCGATACGAGTTTAGTAGCTATAAAATACAAATTTGAACCGGGTGTCTGAAACGGCTAAAAAATTTCTTGATAGACCAACTTCTGTACTGTTTTCTGATCTCAGCAAAAGTTGTTACGGATTTAAAAACTTATTATTTCATAGTATTTGTATCGTATTTCAATAATCATTGATAAAGTAAATAGAACAAAATTTAAGCTAAAAGGGTTATTAGATAGCCCTATTTTACATTTTTACGTAACTGAAAATTTTTTACTAATTTATTTGTAATAAACAATACTACGCTGTTTTAAACAGTCATTGAATGACTGTCAAAAACGGCAAATATTATTCCGTAGCAAAAGGTCTTTCGAGCATCGATGAATTATAATTGTTAAAAGAGTCGAATTTACAGTTGCCAAAAAAATTGTTAATATTTCAACATTTAAAGGAAGAAATGAATTTTTCTGATCTCAGCAAAAATTTTGAGCTTTTTTTCCTTCTCTTATCTCTTTTTTTTCTTCTTATTTGTGTGCTAAAACATTAATGATCAAAGCAGAAAGTACTGTTGCTTGTGACAGTCATAAAGCACATAAATAGGTGTTAAATATAGGCTCAGAATAGCATCAAAACTAAGCAAACTGATTAAATCAGTTTCATCAGGTCAAATTTCAGTAAACATATTTGATAAACATTTTGTTGTCGTCTGAATCTTCTTTTTTTATGTTTCTGTCAACAACATTTCTTTCTTTTTCACCTTAATTGTTAATGTATAAAAATTGCAACTGCAATGTTTCTTCGCAATTGAATTTACGCTTTTTTTGGATATATTCAAAACCAAAAAAAAAATTCTGCGTTAGAAAAAAACCAAAGTAACAGATTAGTTTCAAAAAAAATTTCTTAAATTATCTTTACATTTCCTTATTTATCATTTTTTTAACACTGAACAAACTTTTTTTTGTTCTGATTTTAATTATATAAACAAAAAAAAACAGGGAAAAACTTAGGACAAAATAAAACAAAAACAAAAATGGCTACAAAAAATATGAACTCAAATTGTAAGCGATTAGACAGCAAAAAATAAGATGTCATATGAAAAAAAAAACAGATGAATATTGTCTAATTTTATGGTTTTTTGACTATACACTACAAAAAAATCAATGTAAAATTGATGTTTTGTAGGAGAGTACTAAGCAATCTTTTGAATATCGCATTGCATATTACTGCTTTACAGATACGTATCTGCAAAACAGTAGTTTGTTCAAAATTTTTAAAATAAAGCTTATTTTTTTTTTAATTTTTAGTTATAAAGTGTGAATTCTAATTATTACTAAAAGCTAAAGAAAAACAGTAGAAAAAGAGAGAGAAAAATTGGAAAAAAACTGGTTGATAAAAATTCCTGCCTTTACTTGTAAAAAATTTATCTTTTTTATAACCATTTAATCACATTATAATTGTAAAAAAATTTCTTTTCTTTAATAATTTTTTGCTTATTTTAGAAAATCTTTTATAAGAAAAAACAAACAAATAAATAGAATTAAGAAATTAAAAACGGTAAAAAAAGTTGCAAAAACATTTGACACAAAAATTAGACAGTTTTTATTGAATTCTGAAACAGTGTCGACATTCTTCTGAACATCGTTTGTTATCCCATCTTTTTACTTCACTATTTTATATGAATAAATTTTTCACATCGAAAACCTTTATAAACTCTTCTTCTGTAATTTTGCAGTAACAATTCAAATTTATTTTGATAGTTCTTTATTTTTTGATGTTTTATTTTTTTGAAGAATAAGAAAAAAATAAAGCAGAAAACATTTTTTTTATAAAAAATAAAAAAAATTTTTGTGAAAAAAAAAAAACAGTATTTTCTCAGGCAAATTATAATCAGTGTTATCACAAAGTTTTAAAAAATGTTTGAGAAATGTATAAATGGTACTGAAAATGGTATTATTTAACTGGCCGATAAATACGTATATTTTAAAGTATTTTTTTGTTGCTGAATTAATGCTATTATTTTTCTACAGCGTATTAGAGAACCTTTTTGAATAAAATTTGAAGCTAATGGTAA